TTTTTAAATATTTTATTTATTATTTTTATTTTATGTGCATGTGTGTATTGCCTGCATGTGTGTAATGCACCTGTGTTGTGCAGTGCCCATGGAGGTCAGAAGAGGGTGTTGGATCCCCTGGAACTGGAGTTAAGGAAGGTTGTTAGCCCATGTGGGTGCTGGGAATCAAACAGGACCTCTGCAAGAGAAGTGTGTGCTGTTAACCACTGAGCCATCTCTCCAGCCCCCTTGATTTTGAATTTCACTCTTCCTAAAACAGTGTTGGGTGGTTTGGTACTCTCTTCTGAAAGCTGGCAGGGCAGTGAGCCCTAGTTCCAAGTCAATCATATGGTCACACAGAGAAATAACTGCTACTTGAAGTGTGTTGGAGACCTGGGATGCTTGATAGGTTGGTGTGTCAAATGTGTCTACAATGTACATTACCAGCTTTCAGTAACTTGTTAGGATGTCTCGTCATTGTACATGAAGGAATATGTTTAATTGTCATGTCCCACAGTACAGTTTCAGAGAACTCTCTCAGTGCTTCTCAGTTGTCCTTTAATGCTTTCTTACCTGTTTTTTAGCAGTCAAAAAGTGTTTGGGGTGGGGAGCGGGCATGCTGGAGAGATGACTTAGCAGTTAAGAGCAGTAACTGCTCTTGCAGAAGACCTGGGTTCAGGTCCCAGCACAAAATTGGTGGCTAACAACCATTTTTAACTGTAGTTCCAGAGAATCTGATACCCCCTTCTGGCCCCTGTGAGCATTGCATGGCACAGGTGCACTTACATACATACAGGTAAACACTCGTACACACAAAATTAAATACAATTTTTTAAAAGTTTTGTTGTTGGTGGTGTTGTATCCTCTTGTATAGGGCATGTAGCTTACCCAAGTGAGGTAGAACTTAGCTGTACCCTTTGAAGCAGAGATGATTTTACAGTCTTCTTGCCCATCTTTGAACTCAGTTAAATAAGTAGTGCCAAAGTTAGCGGTGGGAGCATTCTTTCTACTCCCAATAGGTAATACTGTCAAATGTGTGGTGTGCAGGCTCAATGTGAAATATTTCACATTAATTCCCCCAGCAGCTCTATAAAGCTAGGTACTGTTAGTATCCCCTGTGTTACATATGGGAACCCTAGGCTTAAGGGCTTCGGGTATTATTCAGTGATAGTGGTAGAAGGCTTACCTAGTGTGTGCAAGACCCAGGGTCTTATCCCTGATACCACAAGAAAACCCAAGTCTTCAAATCATAGAGCTAGAACGGACCCCAGCCTATCCTTTCTGGACCCCATGTTTTATTGCCAAGTCTTAGGAAATTGGTAGTCAGGTGTCAAATCTGTTCCAGCTGAAGATAGATCCCTCACCACTTTCTATATTCCATCTTTCTTCGTTGCCAAACACTGTTAAATCATTAGTCTCATAGGGTGGATGATGCTGATAAGCAGGTCAGAGTGTGGTTTGCCCATCTTCACATGAAGAAACAAGGCCATAAGAAAGCAGAGGTGACTTGGATATGGTCACACTGAGGTAGGATGTCTGCTTGCCCTGGGCTGTTGGTGGCTCTCAATTATTTTGACTGTTAACTGACTTCTTGAAGGGTATTGAGGGTTGGGGTATCCGTGTGGTTCCTCACATGCTGTGCACTGTGCAATGGGGACCTACGGCAGAGTGCATCACATTCACTCATATTCCATTTCTGTGGGTGAAAAGTTATTCCAGGTCCCATGATGTTCACCATGAAATGTCTTCTGTGAACCAGAAAAGAGCCTTCTGAAAGAAGTTATTAAGCATTATTAATATAATTACGTATAACAAAAGGCATAATTTAACTTCCCCACATCCAACAAAGAAATTCATTTGAAGCTTCAGGAGCTCCAGCTGAAAGGGCAGGCTCATCACAGTGGGCTCTCTGGGCGGGGAGTGTGGGCGAGGCTCTGAGCTGGCTGCTTTTGTCCTCAGGGACCTTCTGTGCATAGCCTGGGGACTAACACCAAACATGGACAAAATATGATTTTAAGCCATAGGAGATGACAGTGAAGAAAAAATACTCGAAGAGAGAAACAGTTGCCATCCTAGGTAGACAAACCTAACACCTAGGTGAATTTTTCTCACTTCATTGTTAAGATTAGAGAGTATCATTATTTGTTGAGTAGATGGCATTGTGTTCATTGTCACCTCAGTTGATCATTCAGTATTTGTACTTTCTGTCCTTGCATTTCAGGTTCATAAACTCAGTGAGTGGAGTGTGCAAATGCCCAGTCCCTATAGCCTGTGTGGCATAAAGCTTAATAACTATTTAGTTTATGGGGCTGGGGAGATGGCTCAGTTGGTAAAGTACTTGCCTTGTAGGCTTGAGGACCCAAGTTCCATCTCCAGAATGCACATAAAAAAGCCAAGCATGATGGTGCCTGTTTGTGATCCAGCACTGGGAGGGCAGTGACAGGCAGATCCCTGAGAATTCATAGGCCATCCTAGTCTACTTGGTAAGTTCCAGAGGGCAGTGACAGGCAGATCCCTGAGAATTCATAGGCCATCCTAGTCTACTAGGATGGGGTCCAGAAAGGATCAGTGAGAGACCCTGTCTCCAAAACCAAGGTAGACAATACCTGCAGAACAGCACTGAGCTTGTCCTCTGACCTTCACACATGTGCATGCCACACAGACAAAGATGCACACAAATATCTTATGAGAGATTGGTACAGATAAGGCCATTAAAGACTCCACAAGCTAAATGACTCATCTAAGATCACTTAGCTAACAGAAAGTAAAGTCAGAATCTAAATCCTTGTTTTCAATTCTGGATCCTCTTTTCTGGATATTTTGAGTCAGTGTCTTGAGGTACAGGAACATGGAGTGTTCACTGTCCAAAGATATTTAAGGCAGTTCTAGTCAAAAGGCCAGCAATGGACGCCCTGGCCATCCTTGCTGAAATCCTCATGGGACCTTGGAAGAAGCCCAACTCCACACTGCCTCTGTCATATAATTTTAAATGGAAACCATGGAGGCAATGCTCTGGGGCCTGAGATCCTCCCTCCTCAGGTTTTTGTTATGTTGTCTCCTTGAAATTATAGTGTGCCCACTTGAAATTCGCTTGAGGACTGGGGGGCTGTATGTGTGACTGAGTCATACCCCAGTGATGACAGCAGTCTGCCTTTTATTCCTGGGTGCATAAAAAGCTCAAAGGTGACTTAGTCCCAGGCCACAAACAGCTGACACCCTAGAATGAAAGTTGAAGAGAGAAAAGAAACAAAAATAAAATGTAGCATTTGAAGGCTCAGCATAGCTTTCAGTTTTGAGGGGAGAGAGTGCACTGATTGCACTCCTGGGCTGGTATAGCATCTTATCTGAACCAGGCGCTCAGGTTGATAACTGTACCCAGCAATGATCCCTGGTACATTGCTTTTGAATAGAATAGGAGGACTATGGAGGGGTGGGGAGGAAGAAGCCTTGTGTCTTTAAAGACTCTCTGAGATGTGATCTCCCCCTTTTACTCATTTGGAGGCTGCAGACCTAGGCCTTTGCTCAGCAAAGCACCCCCCCCCCGCACCCCCCTGGCTTGGGGATTATTGATTTGGAAGGTGAGGCTAATTTACATGTAAATAAATCTCAGCCCTGGGCTGCAGGACTGGGACGTCCAGATGCTGTGACTGACTTGCTGACATCACGGCCTCATTAGCATGCGGAGGATGCAGGCATTGCAACAGCGACTTCTCCAGCGCTGCCAGGCGCTCCGCGACAGTTATTATTTTTTGGCCGTGCTGCACATTTCCTGGTTCAGTGGCCTGGGCTTTGCAAGCAGCTGACTGGTCTCCCAGGTCTGGCTCAGAATCAGCCGATGACGCAGAGACTGGGGTCTGTGACTTCCTTCTGATTACCGTGAAGACGGAGAGTTCAGAGGAAACTGGGGTTCTTGGGAAGGCAATAGCTCAGGCGGACCCAGAGGAAGGGCACAAGTCACTTTCCTCCAGCTTGGTGGATCGCCAGCAGGGTCTGCTTCTAGGAAGGGTGTTCTCCTGAAGGGAATGCAAACGAAGACTGACTCGGGCTTGAGCCTGCCGCTGGCTTCAGGAAGGTCTCACATTTGCAGAGCGCAGAAAATAAGATGCTTGGGCTGCCTGAAGTGCTGCTGCCGTTTTCAGATCTCAGATCCGGGGAGAAAGTGAACTGGAGCAACTGACCAGCTCAAGACTGTGCTGGAGACTTCCTCTGAGCCTGGCCAGCTCATCCTCTCAGGAGGTTGGTAAGAAATTTGCTCTAATTCCAAAATTAAGCAGCTGTGTGTTTTCTAGGCAGGATGAGAAGGGATCTTTGGGTTAGGGAGGATATTATCTCAAAGGCCAGAAGTTGTTTTGGTGCCAAAGGCACCATTGCATTTTCTTTTTAGAAAGTTCAGATGTAAAGTGATCTGGCACAGGTATATAGTACCCTGAAGAAACACTTAAACCTTAGCATGCACCTTTCTTAAGGGGGGTAGGGGGGCTGGGGCGCTGTGAAAACCAAACCAAACACCTGGCAGTTTCCATGTACTGTGCCCATTTCAGCATGTATCAGAAAATGTTAGAGATGCTGACGCACATTCACTTCTCTGACACTTCCAGATAGAGAATTGGCTCTCAAGTTATTGAGGCTTAATTTTAGCCATTTCTTTGGTTTTGAAATGGTGACAGAGCCTTAGAATCTGACTGCATAGCCTGCTGGATCACATGATTAGGTTTGTTCCCTACTGGGTTGTGTTCACAGTCAGTTCCTCTCACTGGCTCTTGATTTTCCCCCAAACCAATCATAGTGCTGCTACTGCCAATCTGCTGTGGAGGTTTCAGGATGAAGTGGCAATTTTTAATCCCACTACTCTTGTTATGTGATCTTGAACTGTGCTGTTCCAGTAGGCTCTTAGGAGCTAGGATAATCTGGTCTGGACACATGATCTATGCCAGATGTGATGCCATCCACCAGTGCCAATGTGGTTGGGGCATAACTTGACACATAGCTGTCTTCCACAGTGGCAGAGTTCTAGTTCCACTGTGAGCATGTGTGAGATCATGAGCAAGAAAGGGCTCTGGTGTGGAATAAATATAGAGACACCAGTACTACGCATGTGGGGCCTGCAGCGTGCCAGGGTGTATGTGCTTTGCTTTGCTTTGTTGCGTGCCTCTTCTCAAAGGTTTTTTATTAACCCATCTCTGTGAAGCTTTAGTACATGAAACAGCCTGAATTCCTTGCTAGAGGCCACACTGGCTGATCTCTCCTCAGAAGAGCAGCCTATCTGCTGATGGGTTTTGTAAATGGATGAAGATGACCATCCCTGATGGCAGCAGAATAAGTCACAGTTTTGATAGAATCACCATATTCTGGAAACTGGGATTTTAGTGCCTCTTGGGGATGCTTGTGAAGGTGTCTCCTTTCCATCAAATGTACTTTTCTCTTGGGAATTCTTTTTTTTTAATTTGAGAATTTGAACATACTCCACCAAGCATTGTGTTCTGTAAAGTGTTACAAGAGCAGTCAACAAAATAGCAATTTTCCCCCATGTATGTTTTTGTGTGTTTGTGTGTGTGTGTGTGTGTGTGTAATTGCCAGCACACAAAAGATAATGCTCTATAGCAGTGGAAGGAGTGGGAAAAGAACTCAGAGGTTAAACAGTGGGGTAATATTCATGCAGGGCTTGGATCCTGAGAGTTGCAGGGACTTAGGGATATCTCTTGGAGTATCCATTCCTTTCTGGAATAGGAAGAGCAGTGAGCCCTGCAGGCAGGGTGATGTGAAAAGCCCCCAGCACCAGGCCAGACACACAGTAAATGCTCAGCAAATGGTAGCTGTTAGCATTGCTCCCTCTTTGATGTGATCACTATAAGCATTGTGACTGAAAACAGACCCATCCATTGAAAAGGCAACATATTCTCTATGCAGAGAGATTAGGCTAGGAGAAAAGATGCTGTCTCAGTCACGGTGGGAGCCAAACTCTTGCTGTCAGAGGAACTTCCCACCTTGTCGATAGTCAACAGAATGAAGTGTCCTATCTAGAACTGCTGTGCTGTGTACTCCCAAAGTGCCTAGATAGCTGAAGGAAAGTTAGTCAGTGCTAGCTGGGCTAGGCTCTCTTAAGAAGGCCTCCTGTCTTGGTAGCTGACAAGTCGCACAGAGAAAGCTGTGGGGTCCAAATTAGAATTGACACCCTTCTGGGTTTCTCTTCTTTTCCAGCCATGCCTGTGAGAGGCAGGACTTTTCTTTCTTTCCAGAACACATACTTGGAATTTTCTATTTTCTTCTCCATCCAGGGTGGCCCTTGGATATGTGTTTCACCTGCTGGGTAGCTCCTCCAAAGTTCCAAGGCTGAATTTATACCATCATCTGGGTGGTTTCAGCTTCTGGATTGGCTGAGAAGGGAAGGGACTAGGCCTGCCTGCCTGCCTGTCCAGGGTGCGTCTTCTCCAGGTTTGTTTTGTGTCCATTGCCATGATCCCTCTTTCCCAGTGAGCTGCTTCAGCCACATAGTTAAGCTGTTGTATCTCCCTGTTTTCCCACAGCTAGCTTTCTCTCCCTCCCTTCCTCTCTCCCTCCCCTCTTCTCTCCTTCCCTCCTTCCCTTTCTTTCCTTCCTCCCAGAGATGGAACTCCAGTGCCAGAATCTGTAAGACAATTTAAAATTAAATTAGGGCTAGAGGTATAGTCAGTGGTGGAGTACTTGCCAAGTGTGTGTTGGCGGGTCCCTAGCACCACAAAAACAAGGTGTTAGGTGGGGTAGGAATTAACAGAGCCAGAGACATCTGGCATAAAACGCTTTCTCCAGAAACTCAGAATAGGGAGTTTTTCCCTTCTGGTTGAAACAATGTTCAGTACAAGTATATTTTTCATGGAGTATAATACTAATACAATACGTGATCATAGCTGCCTCTGTTGCCTCCTGATTAAGTGTATGTGATCTTGGGAGAGTTGTCTAACGTCTTTGAAGTTTGATTAATTCATCAGAATATTGGAAATAAATTTCTCTGAATGCTGTGATGATGGTGGCTGTAAGGCCCTTGTCTAATTTTGACGACATCCTGGCTATTGGCCTTCATTTCCTCCTGATGTTCATGACTTTAATATTTCCCATTCAATCTCAAGATGAGAACAGTAGGGGGCAGTAGATTTAATATTTATTCATCAGAAATAAAGAAATCCTAAGAGATAAAATAACTTAGCCTCAGTGACAGAGACGTTGACAACCCTGGTCCCCAGGGCTAAGAGCATGTGAACCCCAAGTACTCTGAGGATGAGAAGGCTCTGGCCATCCACTTACCTGTCCATCCTAAGGCCAGAACCTTTATTCAGAAACCCCTGAAGCCTGGTCCTCTCTCTTCAGTGCTGTCATTGAGCATACAGAGTCAAATGCTCTATCCCTCAGAGAGTGCTCAGGATGGCATCTGGGCAATGGCTTTCTTTTGTGCATGGTAACCCCTGAAGGTTTTCTCTCCCTTGTCTCTCTAGTCATGATGCCAACACTTGGGAAATTGCCAGGGCCTATGCAGCTACTGAGAACTAAGAAACTGGTGTATAAGACTTAGGCAAAATCTGTCTTCCGTGCTGATGCAATTGACTGACACTTGTCACTTTGTTCTTGTTCCAACTTTTAAATACATTATACTTTTTGTATCCTGACTATTTGTGTGTGCATACACACATGCATTTGTGTGTTTGAATCAAGCAAGGAAGATGATCTTTATTAGAAGCTTGACCACTTGAATTTAGAAAGTTTGCCTTTTTCCTTGGCCTATTATTTGAGCACTTCATTGTTTGGAGCCTGGAAACCAAGCATTTTCTTTTTCTGTTATTTCCTTGGAGATAAAACAGAGGGGGGGGGCAGCGAAACAGGGTGCTGTACATTAGGAATGTTACTCGGGTAGCATTCTTGCCTAGCATGCACGAGGTCCTGGGTTCAATTCCCAGTATCATTACTAAAAGGGGTAAAAACCAAAAAGCCAGGATTCAGGGGGGTGGGGTGAGAAAGAGGAAGCAGGGGAGGGGAAAAGAAAGAGACCCTTTCTCCATTTGTCCCCTAAAATCACAATGAAATCTCAACCCTGTCCTTTTACTGTGCCCAGCACATGCTTTGCATTGGAGCACCACGGGCCTTTCAGAGAGTGTATTAATGAAAAGGCACATTGGCAGGTACACTGTGGGCTGCCTTTGTGTGGCAGTGTGACAGGGTAAGCTTCCAGCACGTGTTTGGTTTTGACACCAATGAAAATCGAGTTCCATTCAAAGAACTGGTACTGAAGAGTTGACTCAGCAGTTAAGAGAGCAGGGTTCAGTTTCCAGCACCCAGATGGTAGCTAACAACCATCCATAACTCCAGTTCTAGGGGATCCAAAACCTTCTGACCTCCACGGGCACTGCATAACGTGTGCACTAACATACATGCAGGCAATACACTCATATGTACACATAAAAAAAATAAAATATTTAAAAAACAAACATGAGAGCTGAGCTAGAAGATGAAATGCAGCTCTCTGAAGACACATGGCATGCCGAGACTCACTAGGTGGTAGTGTGGGCCCGAAGGAGGTGAGGGGTGGCTTATTTGAGAAAGTGTCACGGGAGCCACACTCTAAATCGTGGTGTGGACCTACAGGAGAGAGGAATACCAGAGAGTTCTGTCCTTTCCATCTTCCCAGCCTGGTATATGAGCTGTCCTGTGTACACCATCTGAAACAATGGGGGGTGGAGCAGTGGGGCCCTTTCTGTCATAAGGTGTGGCAAGAGTTGAACTCTCTGTTGGACCTTTGACAGCCCAGCACTCGGCCTGTCTCAGATGCCTCCTCTCCTCTCTCATTGGGATCTTCATTGGCCTCAAGACCTCCTTTTCTCTTTGCCTCCTTAAAATCAAACCTTATAAATATTACACAGCCCTATCCAGGATTAAGAGTAACTGGGACAAAATTCTTAGCAATTCTTTTCAACTGGGCAGAGTGCCATTTTCCCAACTCTGTTCTTGGCATCTGTTCCTCAGTTATGAGTCCTTGGAGATACAGGTTCATGAAAGTTCCTGGACTCAACTGAGAAACAGATATACTGTCTGTGGTCACAAAACCAAATACAGTTTCAGAGTAGCTGTTTTGTATATGGAAGTGTGTGTCTGTTTGCTAGTGTCCGGATGGATAGAAAAGATGCTATCATGAAGTTCACACCTACTTGCTACTCAGTGTGATCTGTGCTTCACATAGTTTACCTCATCCTTTGGCTATCCTTCTGCTAATC